CTTGTAATAATAATTAATAATTTATAGTAAGAATCTCTAGGACAGGTACAAGATTTATTAGTAGGTACAAGGATATTTATAATGTAGCATTTAAAATATTAAATTCTATGGTTACCTAAATTGTTTTTCCATCCACAATAATTTATTTTACGTCAAAACTTCTTCAAAAAGTCAGTGTATCAATATTTATTGTCTAGATTCGACAAAATCGATTTTTTACTGACTGAACCCTACGAAGCATTTTACTAAACTATCGACAATAACTAATATATTTACAATCTAATATATTTTTTTCGATTTCCCAACAGTAAAGAAACTCATAGCAATAAAAAAAAAAACTATATTTATTATAAAATTTAAAAAGGATGCTCAAAAAGCAGCGAATTATCGACTAACTTCAAGCTAATTAAGAAATAATCACACTTTAACGAACAAAAAAACACGTACGGTAGAAATTTTACTCTTTAAAGAATAAAAGAAAATGTAAAAAACTTTTTGAAAGACACAAACCTGACAGGCATCTTTGCCACCCTCCGGATACCCAGCACAGATCATCCCGTCGGTTATGTTGAGCTCCTTGTGTAGCAGCCACGAATTGCATGTTTCCCTGCTGACAACCGGAACATTGACTTCATTCACAGCTGGCTCGTACTTCGAGTCTAACAACAGAATAACAGAGAGTGAAAACAAAGTGGCAAAAAACACCGCACCCCTTCGCTATCGTATGTACGAAATGTGGGGGCGAAAACTCACTGTCCGAGTCCTCCTTTTTCCCCCAGCCAATGACCGTGCAGACCTTGTTGGCCAGATCGATATTGGCCGACGGCAAACAGGCGGGCCTCAGGTGCTCGTGAAACTCGACTCGGTGCGCCAGCTGCAACGCACACCCCCAAACTTTGATTAAACCCAACAAACTACGCCTAATTGAATAACTTCGAATCGCCATCCCTAATGAATTTCATCGTGCCGTGGAAAAGTAATATCGGCACATCAAAGTGCACATGTATAACCTGAAATAGAGCCACGTCGTTGTCGTGAGCGACGCCCTGATCGTATTCCGGATGCGGCACGACCCTCTTGACTTTGAGCTTTTTGCCGAGGTACGAGTGGGAGTGCCTTCGTGTTATTCCCAGCTGTATCGTCCAGCCGGATATCTCGGACCGACTGCGATCAGAGTAACATTAATCGTCTCAAATGTATCATTTGTCCGTCAAAGACGAAGGGTTGTAAAAAAAAAAAAAAAACGCGAAATGATCGACTCACTTGCCAACGCAGTGAGAAGCCGTGAGAACCCACTGGTCGGCGATGAGGACCCCGGCGCAGTAAAAAATCTGCTCGGGCCCGCCGAGGAGGGCGGCCAGAAAGGGCCAGTCGCCCGGCGCCGACTCCACCCCACCGACTATCCTCTTGCGGGGTCTCGCGTTCTCGTCCGGATAATTCCTCCGACGTCCGCATTCTTCGATCGGACATGTACCATTAATTTACAAAGTATTTTTTTTTTCCATAATTTTCAGAGGTTCATACAAATTAGCTTCCTACCGTAGCCCGTGCAGATCAAATCGACGACCGAGTAGTCTTTCTCGTCGAGGCACTTCTGAAACTCTTGGAGTAAGTTCCTATTGCGCTCCTGAATTGGCGGATCGCGATGTTTTCTTTCAGTGGATATTACTCTGTCGATGCTGGTGTTACTCTCAGACTTGAGCAATGTCGAGGAGTTTACCGTTCTATAATATTTAAAAAATATGTGTGTGATATATTATGGGTTAATGGAGGTATTGTCGTGCCGGTCAAGGTGGCAAAACTTACTTGTAACCGAGACGAGAGCAAATTTCTTTCGGTAACGATTCCCTCCAGTTCGCAACGCAGGCAGGCATGAATTTTCCCTTTTTGGCGTGATAGACCTCGAGGCGGCCCGTGCCGATGTCACCATTTCTGCTGCTCAATCGAACTGTTCGGAAAAAAGGTGGATTACCTTAAGGGGCAGAAATGCGCTGATATCCAAAAACTATCAGCAGTTGAATTATAAATGACCAGAACAATTTTTTAGTGAAAATGTGAACGGCAATTTGTCATAATAGAGAGTACCCTAACTAAGCGCATGTCACTCTCTCTGAACTCGAGATGCTTTTATTTGTATTGCTAAGTAAATTTATTTATATTATTAAATTGAATTTTATGTTTGTTATTTATAATTTACTTAAAGTGCGATTCTTAACACCGATAAAAGTAAATACTTATCCATTATTAATAATAATTAATAATTTATAGTAAGAATCTCTAGGACAGGTACAAGATTTATTAGTAGGTACAAGGATATTTATAATGTAGCATTTAAAATATTAAATTCTATGGTTACCTAAATTGTTTTTCCATCCACAATAATTTATTTTACGTCAAAACTTCTTCAAAAAGTCAGTGTATCAATATTTATTGTCTAGATTCGACAAAATCGATTTTTTACTGACTGAACCCTACGAAGCATTTTACTAAACTATCGACAATAACTAATATATTTACAATCTAATATATTTTTTTCGATTTCCCAACAGTAAAGACGGTATCAAACACAGTCTAATACAGACAATATATTAATTTTTACCCATTGCTGAGAGGTGTTAATGCAAAATAATAAAATACTATGATTCAAATATAGATTAAAAGTATGATTAATCAAACAGGTTATCTGATAAACTGCAAGTATAAAATTTTTAACCAAATAACAACATTGTGTTGTTATTATTACTTGTGTGTGCAAATAGAAAAATGTTTATATCATCCTATTAAAATGATGATTTTAATATACATTACAAAAATACTAAATACGTAAAAAATTGTACGAAAAATATGAATCGATCACCAGTTAGCATCAGAATTTTCTCCCGAATAAACATCGTACAAAAATACCTTTGACTGATCATTTAAGCAATCTGAAAGAAAAGGACGAAAAAAAACAATGAGCAACTCACGACAGTTGCGCTCGTCCTGAGCCCAAGGACAGTCCTTGATGCCGTCGCAGACGTGCGTGGCAGACATGCACCTGCGACCGCCGCAGTGCAACGAGGCCGGGGCAAACACTTGATTCTTGACACTCTGGCTGATGACGCTGGTCTTGCGGCCGGCCCCTTTCGAGCTGATCGCCACGAGGTCATTGCGCTCGCCGTCGCTGCACTCGCCACAGCCGATCTCGTCCGTGTGGTCCTCGCAGTCGACGTGGCCGTCGCAGCGCCAGTCCAGCGGTATGCAGCGCTTCTCGTCGCATTGAAAGCCCTTCGGACAGACTGCGGGGCAGAGAAAAAAAAAACAACCACGGCTGATCTCTCGTGTGATGGATTTATCGATTTTCGGGCTAATGGTTGCAGAGCATTGGCGATGCGTTTCGTGTAATTATTGATTTGAATCGAGATTTCGCATGCGCTCGGGGGTTTTTTTTATGAGTTAATAACTGTTATCCTCGATTGGTGCATTGGTACTTTACATTTTTTTTTCCCTGCAAGGCAAGATTGATATTTACTGGTTTTTGTGGCGTTTCGTTGGAGTAAAAGGTACTCCTGAAATTTCCATTTTCGAGTATCTCTAATGATTGCCGAGTTACTCAATTTATTGAGTCTTAATAATCTGAAGGGTACTGTTTCTGCTTTTCAATTTAATTATACGTATGCGTACGATAGATTTCACTCTTTATCGCAATTTGGAGTGAAAAGATAACGAAAACCTTGAATGATCGAGAAAAAAAAAGTAAAAATTACGTATTACCTGGCTAACTTAAATTTGTTTTCTGGAATTTTGTCTATGATTGTAAATTGTAAATTTTAAAAAATTGTATCCGCTCGTTTAAAATATAGTATCATTAAATTGTTAATTTTTTTATTTAGTTTTTTTACTTTTATAATAAAAAAATATCATAGTATAACATTATAAATTTTCTGTACTACTGTGATTGGAGTTACCTTTAAATTAATGTAAACATTGTTTAAAAATAAGCTTTTCTAAAATACCAGTGAATTCTAACGTTATTTAGTGTGAAAACTCAATTCTAATTTTGAATTTAAGATCTACGTAATACATATCGTTGTGTGTACCAAGTAAAAATTTTTACATTTTTTTTACATGTACAATACTTTTGTAGAACAACTATATTAATCTATTATAATNTCTGTATTTAAATCTCAGACACCCGATAAAAGGGTTGCTTACCTATGACTATAATTAAGAGAGAAGGATAATCTGTGACCTCAAAAAAACTGGGACACTTGAAATAAGTAATCCCAAAAAATTTTAAAAAAGAAAGCAACATCCACAAAAGATAAAACCCCAAGCGTAGCCTTAACAAAGCAGATAAGCGCCCAAAGAAGTCACGTATTTTTTCTCGGGACAATACTCGAGTATAGCCAGCCAACGAAGGCTTACCTTGAGTTACGGATTCTCAGCACTCCCTAATCGAGCTAACAATTTAATCTTAATTAACCACGTAGAATCTGAATCACAATGTGCCCCTCGATTCCTCCCCCTTTTTCTTCGATGGTTAAATTCGGTCTTTCTATGCTTGGTCGAAAAATAAACCTTCTGATAAATTAACTGTTATATTACAAAATCCACTTTAGGTATTAGTTACATATGTCCATGTACCTAATGCAATGCAATCTGCAGTTATAGTTGACTAAATGATCACTTATTTAAGAGTCACACTTTTATCATAATCACTTATCCAACAAAAGCAACTTTTTTATCTTTTTAAAATCATCTAAAATCATTGAGAAAAATCCTAAAAATTCAATATTATTTTATATGATACATGACAGAAGCACACACGTAAAGATTTTTTTTTCGTAACGATCCGTTTTAAAGTTGTCATGATTGTAAATTTCTATATTTTTTCAGAAATACAAGGAATTCTATTAATTTAGCTGTGGATAAAATTCCGTAAGGATCTGATTGTTATTTCAATTAGGTACGTGACTATGTCAAGGCAGTCATCAGATGAATTCATCTGTCTCAAGGAAATACAGATTACCATTAGCTGCATGCAAGTGTATTCAAGCTTGATTCACCTAAAGTTGAATACATATCAGTCTTGGCAACGTAGCTTAAATTTTAATAAGCTAATCAAAGGAGTATGAAGATAGTAAATTTTGAAAAGACCTTAATTATATAAGATTGTTAAATGTCTTTCGTATTTGTATTTTGTTTATTACATTCTTAAAACTACCATCATGATAGCTGGGATAAAAGAAATTTTTAAAGTTTATGTAAAGTGTTGTGATGTAAGAATATAGCTTCTCTTTTAGATTATTTTCAATGACTTCGCGTTTTGAATTAGTTACGCACGTGATTAAAAAAAAAAAGTATATTTTATAAATTACTATTATTATTATTATTATTCTCCGTGTAGGTATTTCTTTTTCTCCNTTATTATTATTATTACTTAAATTCCTCAAGCATTAGGAACGCGGTAATTTTACGCTCTTGTAATTGATTTTCAAAATTTTTATGTAGAATACTTGTAAATTATGTAAAAAAACCATAATTAATGATCCAACATCACCACAAGCTATTCTCTCAAACTTATCAGGAGTATGATGGCCATAGCTCAACAAAGCTATTAACGTAATCTACGTGTGTTCAAAAGATTCACCATTACTCCATAACTGAATTTTCGAATCACTAGAGTCTTTAATAACTTAAAATGCCAGATACATAAGCAGAAGTGACAATTTTTCTATTTTACTCGTATGGAATCTTTTTCATTAGGAGTTAAAAATTACTAACTGGTTCCGAGAGAATGATTTTTTTATACTAAAATGTAACGTGATACGAAGTTACAGTTTTGCAGTCCATGAGCCGATTGAACATAATTTTAGTTTTTAATAGTCTTGTACAATAGAATCAAATAATTTTGACGAATTAATTTTAATTTAATTTGTATTTTTTATATTATTTCACACATAAATTATTGAAATAAAAGTAAAACTATTGAAAAATTTATTCTCTAGAGTCAATAATTTTCGTAAAAAAACATTTTTATGAACAAATAGTTTGCCCACATATAATTAGTAACAAAAAGAAAAAAGAAAAACAATGGTTATACAACCGTTAAATGCTGGGAAACAACTAAGGTAAATCAGGTAAGAAAAATCGGCAGATATTTGATACTTCGCTTACTTTTCAACTTCCAATGTCTATTTATGTACGAACGTATGCCTTTTTTTTATGTATGCTTATGACTCGTGACCAAACACCACACGCTTATTTTCCTTCTACCTGATGAAAGTACAAAAAATAACGCCACATGAGAAATTCCATGCCTACTATCTGTAAATTGTCAGGCCTGCACACGAAATCAAGCGTTAATCGCTTGGGCGTGCGTTGTTGTACGGAGCAGTGCAACGATACGTGACGAACTGCACCGAACGCCCTGATTGAGATTTCGAGCTTGTCCTTTGTCACGCTATTATTCCTCGATCGCGCACGAATATTCCCGTCGACATTGAAGAACCATTATTCACGCCGTTCCAACCAACTCACGCGTATCTTTTTGTCCCTTCGCACTTGTGCATGGAAAACTTCATCGAATCACAATTTGTAGAAACAATGCCCAAGTGTTCGCATTGCGGATGAAAGGGTCGGCTCGACGCTTCGGTAAACAATACGCTCGTTTCGGCACTCGCGTTGGGACATGGAGACAATAAGACGAGTCGGCGCAAAGTTAACAATTAGCCACGATTTCCGCGGACACTGGAAAGTCGAGGGCGCAAACAAAGGACTCTGGTCTCCCTCCTTTTCCCCTGGACTTCCTTATACTCTTTTAAGCTGTTTAATCGTGGGTGTGATGTATGCCCGAGTGCATTGTTCATCGAATACACGCCGACGCAGTGTTGGTTGGTCGTGGGCGTGGAATTTAAAGTGCTGATGCTAAAAGGCTACCGAAAATTATGGTGAGCCAGAATTTATTTTATTTAAGTTACCCTTTGTGCATTCGACGCGGATTATGCATGAGATATGGATGGCATCCATTCGATGTTGGGTTATAAAAACACTTTGGTCCCGTTATTTCACCCAAGTAGTAATTTTCTTTATACAAGTTTATACTTTATAATTTGCGCTACAGAAGAGGTTACGCAAATTCGTTAAAGATTAAATTTTTTTTTTTTTTCAACCAATGCTACTTTTTTTGTTAAATAAATTCTTGCGCAGTACCAACCAACCAAAAATCACCCCTTGACTACTCGAGAAAGCAAAGCTGCTTTAAAGTAAAGAATTTGAACTTTGCATACCTGGTTTGGCTTCGCGCTTCGCTGCCTCAAGGACTTCGTGGTATCCGACACAGGCATTTAATTGTGGGCTCTCCGGAAATAGATCACAATGTATGTAATTCGGAATGGTCAAACCAAACACGTCTAGAAAAAAACTGCAACGCCTTATGGTTTCTGAAACACAAACATAGGAATGATCATTATGAAAACTATTTTACAACCATTTTTCGGCATTGATAACATGCTTGAATTAATTTTATTGATAATCAATGTAAGACGAGAAAAAAAATGTTTACCAAATCTATAGACAGTTTTAGGTGGCAAATATTTACGTGAGTGATCAATAAGAAATTTTTTTCTATGGTATTCAAAAAATTACCAAAACAGAGGTTTCTGCAGGGCCTGATCATTATTCCATCCTTAGGTCCGCACATTGGCACAAATAGGCTGCAGAAAAAGAGGGCCGCAAGTTCGTAGCAATGCACATCAATTACAGCGTCAAAAAATTCGATTTCGTGCTGGGCATCACGTTGTCTGAAGTTTCCCATAAAATTAGGAAACACAGTGTAATTGTACGGAATCTAATAACACAATAATAAAAAAAAAAATGATTTTTTGATTAATTTTCTTACTGTTGTAGTAAGATTAGATCTCAGTAAATATGGCTCAATCTAGCCTAAGTTTCATTTAAGTGAATTCATAAGTGCATAGGATAAATAAAATTTTTTACGTACAGCGGTGACAAAATAGTCATTGTTTAATCTGGCTATGCACTAACAACCTTTTCTACAGCTCATCCAAAAGAATAACTTAAGAATTAATTAAATATTATTTTTTTATCATATAGTCCATGATAAAAAATTTCCATCCTCACAGTTTAATACAAAAAAATTTGTTCACAAACTGTAACAACAATGAAATAAAATTCGTAAAGTAATTTATTTTAGAGGAATTTCTAAAGAAATAACTAAAAGATTTCTTTATTTTACAATGTTAGTAAAAGTGTAAGAGTTCCACAGAAGTAAGAATGTCATGTATGTATTAAAAAATTTTATACATTCTGAAAAG